GATAAGGGCTTAGGGCTTAGGGTTTGCAGGGTTTAGAGTTTAGGGATAAGGGTTTAGGGTTTAGGGCTTTGGGCTTAGGGTTTGCAGGGTTTAGGGATAAGGGTTTAGGGTTTAGGGATAAGGGTTTAGGGTTTAGGGTTTAGGGTTTCGGGCTTAGGGATAAGGGTTTAGGGTTGAGGGCTTAGGGTTTAGGGCTTAGGGCTTAGCTGGCGGCTCAGCTGACAACAGACTTGCACCATGAAACTACACCCTACCAGTAAACCCTAAACCCTAAACCTGCAAACCCCCTAAAACCCGAAACCATGAACACTAAACCCCAAAACCCCTACACCCCCCAAACCCGATCTGCTGGCTATCGGGTTTAGGGCCCGTGCCACCTAAACCCTAAACCCTAAACCCTAAACCCTAAACCCAGCCTAAAGTGCTTCGGCAGACCCGGGATCTTCCTTTTGAGGTTTTAGGGCTTTAGAGTATAGGGGTTTAGAGTTTAGGGTTTAGGGTTTAGGGTTTTAAAATTTAGGGTATAGGGGTTTAGAGTTTAGGGTTTAGAGTTTCGGGTTTTAGAGCTTAGGGTTTTGGGTTTTAGAGGTTTAGAGTTTAGGGCTTAGGGTCTGGGGATGACAAGGAGGATGTGGATGAAGACGCAGCAGATAGCCATGATGAAGATCGGATAACGACGATGGTTACAGTAAAGACGATAGTTTATGACGACGCCTGCCCATGGCATTCAGGATCATGAGAACTATGATGCGATGACGGTGATGATGGTGGCGGTGAGCACGATGACACACATCCGCATACCAAAACACTAACCACACCATTACTACACTAGACCAAACCCCCCAAGCTTCATTGGCGCAGTCACCAGAAGACTGCCACACCTGTCTGCGAACCCTAGGACCCCCAACCAACGCCAATCTGCCCCGACGCCGAGGCACAGAATTGAGCCGGTTCAAGATCTTCAGCGCGGCGGCATCAGACATCTGCCCTTGCTGGTCCACCTCCAACCTCGTATGAACTGAGTTTTGTAGGGGCTTCATTCGAGCCTTTGGGACTTCATGGGTTCAGGCTTTCGGGTTTCAGAGCTTAGGGTTTGGGCTTTTGGGCCGCCGGGTTGAGGGTTTAGGGAAGAAGTAGAATCTGGTTTGGGCTTGCTTGATGCCAGAACCGTATGGGTACAACAAGCGAATGTGGGTGAATAATATTGCGGACATTTCGGCCCGAGTTATGTTAGAGCAACTTCACGGTGCTTTGGAATTCTCACGGGTGCTCTGGGCGATCAGGAAGGTCTGGCACATTTTTGGGCCTGTCTGCGCATGTACCAAAGCTCATATACTCAAGCTGTTCGCGTTCGTTCGTGGCGTTGAAAATTGGAGTTGTCTCATCAGTGGGCTGCACCACCGCTGATTATAAAATTCGCCATCACGATATGACGAAGAATGGACACAATGATCACCTTCGGGGCCCTATCTCGGGTTACAGCCATCATCAAGCCCGATGAACCCAGAACCTCTTAAGGGCCCGACACCCTGGAGCCCAAGAAACCTCAAACCCTAAACCCTAAACCCTAAACCCAAAGCCCTGGCATTAAATCCCAAGCCCCCAAACTCTTCGCCTTTCTCTGTACGCTGCACCATATACCCCAAAACCCTATTCGGTTAAGCAAGGCCCCTACATGACAACCCTCATCGTAACCGTTCTTGTTGTAACCCATATCCTTATTATTTACCTATATTAGTTTGGGGGTTCCTTATTATGATTACAGGAGAATGGGTCCCAAAACCCCCCTTCTAACTATTAAGGCCCCTATATTCGCACCCTTCAAGGAGCCTCATCGTGTCCACCAGCTTGATCCAAAGGTTGTCAACCTGCGTTGTTGCTCCGGAAGCCACCTGTGCACAATGTGTGTTTAGGGGTTTAGGGCTTTAGGGTCTTAGAGTTTGGGGGTTTAGGGGTTTAGGGTCTTAGAGTTTGGGGATTTAGGGGTTTAGGGTGTAGGGTTTGCTAAACCCTAAACCCTGCACGCAGTGACTAGACCTTCTTTTCAGGCTGACTGCATGGACCTCAATTGCTAGACTGCTGTTTCGGGGCTTGTTGCTTTCTTCTACTATTTTTTGAAGAAAGACGATGTTATGGTCCATGCATCCGACCCCGACATAAAAGAAGGTTTAGGGTTTGGCTTCGGGGCTATGTTATGACTGTATCAGAAGGTAGGGTGTTTACAACCGTTCTACCCAGAAAGAAACCTAAATATGCCCTCACCAACATAAGTAAGGAGCCCCTACACACACGCAGCAAGCCGACTCAAACCTTAAACCCTAAACCCAAACCCTAAACTAAACCTTAAACCATAGAAACCATAAACCCTCAAACACCCTGGAGCCTAAACCGCATAAACTCCAAATCCTAAACCCAAACCCAGCAACATTGACCCCACTGCGAATGCAGAGCACCTTGCAAAGGTCTCCTCACAGTAGAGCTATAGACGGGTTTAGGCTTTAGGGTTTAGGGTTTAGGGGTTCAGAGTTTAGGGTTTAGGGTTTAGGGTTAAGCACATATGGGACAGTGCTCTTCACGCTTCAGAAAATAGATGGCGTCTCTTGCCGTTCCGAAGCCGAAACCCTAAACCCCCAACCCTCAA